TATTTAACCCTGTCCCTTCTGGTCTGGGAATCTATAGTTAGTTTTAGCTGAGGGTTTAAAAAAAGCAGCATATGCTAGAGCCAGGTTACACATTTGATGGCCACTTATGGTAATTAGACTTCCAGTTGCATTTCAGATCAGAAACTACTAGGGAAAAAATGCAGAGTGGATAGTTGGACTCTGATTTCCAAGTGCACACTGTGTTTTTTTGCATGTGAAAAGCTCCATTCCAGGCTGGACAACAACTGGAGGATCTCTTCATCACCACAGAACTTGTCTTCAGGCACCCAACACCAAAATGAACATTGCATCACAATCATCCTCAGGGGCCACTGCAACTGGACTTTGCTGCAACATTCATCTGGAGGTATCCCTATTAATAACTATATATACCCCAGTATATGTGCACAATTCCACCAGGACTCCAATTGGGCCCTTTGCTGATAATACCTGTTTGTACATTGGATGTATATACTATAAATAATAATACCTTCTTACATAAAGCTTGTATTATTTCCATACTGGTGTGTAGCTATATACCTATGGTTATTGTTATATGCTGGTTGCAGTAGTTCCTCTGCTCCCAATTACTTTGATTAGATTACTGGTTAATTTCCCAGGAAGGGAATCTCCTCTGTTCACAGAGGCCCTGTCCTGGGTGGAGCCACTGCTAACTTTAATATCAAACCCACTCTTCCACTTAGCAAAGGTTCTGGTTCTCTTATTTACTTACAGATTTAGCACAATATCCTGTTTGGTGAAGTCTATTTGTCATACCCCCCTCTCCAAAAGAGAGCTACATAATTAAGAAAGAAAACTAATTTTCTGTTCAGTGCAGCTCATAGGAAGGGACAAGGACACTGTATTTCTGGCAGAATCAACAGGTAGTTTCTGTACTTGCTAAAATGTTCTTAACCTGACAAAAGGGAAATAACACAGACAACACATCTACCGACTGGTAAACTGCAGTAACTTACATTTAGTTATACTTAAAAAAATATAAGGACCCATTTCTTTTTTATTGCTGTCTGTGTACCTATTGTGCAGTCTGAATAGTCAGGCCAGGCCTAGTAAACATCTCCAGTTGGGGCACAGACAAAAAACATATATTGTAGCTCTGACAGTGTAAGTCTGGTGACAGATGATCTCCCCATTTCTTGTCCTGTCACAGGGAAAGAAAATGAGGGAAGATCTCCTCAATGGGGTCATAGACAGAAATATAAATCTGACAGAATTATTTTTAACTCCTACCCTCTCTATCCAATAGAATATAATTTGGGGTGGGGATAGGCTTTAACAATTACCATAATTCAAGTTGTCTAATCCAGTAGGTCTATTAAAAAATGACATACAGTGGGGATCGAAAGTTTGGGCACCCCAGCTAAAAATTTGTATTAATGTGCATAAAGAAGCCAAGGAAAGATGGAAAAATCTCCAAAAGGCATCAAATTACAGATTAGACATTCTTATAATATGTCAACAAAAGTTAGATTTTATTTCCATCATTTACACTTTCAAAATAACAGAAAACAAAAAAATGGCATCTGCAATAGTTTGGGTACCCTGCAGAGTTAATATCTTGTACTGCCCCCTTTGGTAAGTATCACAGCTTGTAAACGCTTTTTGTAGCCAGCCAAGAGAATTTCAATTCTTGTTTGAGATATCTTTGCCCATTCTTCCTTACAAAAGTCTTCTAGTTCTTTGAGATTTCTGGGCTGTCTGTCACGCACTGCTCTTTTAAGGTCTATCCATAGATTTTCAATTATGTTGAGGTCAGGAGATTGTGAAGGCCATGGCAAAACCTTCAGTTTATGCCTCTTGATGTAATCCCCCGTGGATTTCGAGGTGTGTTTAGGATCATTATCCATTTGTAGAAGCCATCCTCTCTTTAACTTCAGCTTTTTCACAGATGGCATCAAGTTACCATCCAAAATTTGCTGAAATTTTATTGAATCCATTTTTCCTTCTACTCGTGAGATGTTCCCTGTGCCACTGGCTGCAACACAACCCCAAAGCATGATTGATCCAACCCCATGCTTAACAGTTGGACAGAGGTTCTTTTCATTAAATTCTGTGCCCCTTCTTCTCCAAACGTACCTTTGCTCGTTCCAGCCAAAAAGTTCAATTTTAACCTCATCGGTCCACAGAACTTGTTTCCAAAATGTATCAGGCTTGTCTATATGTTCATTTGCAAAGTTCAAATGATGATTTTTGTGGTGAGGACGTAGAAGAGGTTTTCTTCTGATGACTCTTCCATGAAGACCATATTTGTACAAGTATCTCTTTATAGTGGAATAGTGTACCACAACTCCAGTGTCTGCCAGATCTTTCTGGAGGGATCGTGCAGTCAAACGTGGGTTTTGAATTGTTTTTCTCACAATCCTGCAAGCTGTTCTGTCTGATATTTTTCTTGGTCTTCCAGATCTTGCTTTAACTTCCACTGTTCCTGATGACTGCCGTTTCTTAATTACATTCAGAACAGGATATTGACATCTGAAAACGCTTTGCTATCTGCTTATAGCCTTCTCCAGCTTTGTGAGCGTCAACTATTTTCAGTTTCAGTTTTCTAGACAACTGCTTAGAAGAACCCATAGTGCTGATTGTTGGGGCAAGGTCAGATGAGTCTGGGCATTTAAAACCTTTGAGATTGACATCACCTGGTCTTCCCAGACGATGATTGAGAACAATCCATGACACTGGCAGGTCTCAGCTTTGCAAAGGGGGCAGTGCATGCTATAAATTCTGCAGGGTGCCCAAACTTTTGCAGACGCCATTTTTTTGTTTTCTGTTATTTTGAAAGTGTAAATGATGGAAATAAAATCTAACTTTTGTTGACATATTATAAGAATGTCTAATCTGTAATTTGATGCCTTTTGGAGATTTTTCTATCGTTCCTTGGCTTCTTATGCACATTAATACAAATTTTTAGCTGGGGTGCCCAAACTTTCGATCCCCACTGTATATGATGCAATCTGTCATTAGCATTAACACAGTTGTCATCACTTTACCTCTGTAACATAGTTCTATTTCCTGGTGATCTGGCCAGTAAGTCTGTTATTTTGTATCCTTATTTAACAGACAAAGCTGTCCAGCAAAAATGGCAGTTAGAGGGTTGAGTCAAACCATCTAACACAGTCAGGGGTACTTAAAATGGTTTTTATTCATTTCTATAAAGCATTTATTTCAGTAGCAAACTATTATACATCTAGGGCGAGATATTGCGAAAGAGAGTAAGAACCTACAAAAATAACCTACACTGCATTATGGTATACATTAAAGTGTTACTAAACTCAGGACCCTGCATTCACTTTATCTAGTCTCCCACAGTACACACAACAGCAGAGCTGTGTGATATATATATATATATATATATATATATATATATATATATATATCATCCTTATCACATGCACGGCACTTTATTGTATACTTTACACATAAACTGCTGAATACCTTTTCTCATCAGTAGTTAGAGCAGTCTTCAGCAGAGCACTGGTTAAATCTTGTAGGAGGAGTTTTCTTTCTGCTCTAGGACAATGCAGAACCCCTGACCTATGTCTTGACAGTGCTGATTGGCCCTGTGCTGATCACATGCACTCTCCCAAGAAAAAAAAAAAAACCCTCTCTAGCAATACACACTAAACTGATAATCAGGAGATAAGACATGAACATTTGAACAAGAGGAGAAGCAGAGAAGTCAGGATCAAACATCATTTTTACACAATGTGGAGGATCCACAGTGAGTATAACAAGCATGCTTTACTACATATACAGACTGATTTTAATGTTGTGGGTTTAGTAACACTTTAGAGCCCAATTCCCATATGAGTAAAAGCTATCAAAGAATGTCAGGTGTATGCATCTCCCCCGATACTTATGGGATAAATGTATGACTCTTCTTTGAGATTACTGTGCGATATCATGTCATTTTCCAATGAAATGTTTTTCTATAAATGGAGGAGATGAACCTTTCATTCACCTGCTTGTCCTCCATCATATTTTATTGTGTGAAGCAATAGTACAGATTCTCTGAATGGAGGAGGGGAGCGGAAAGGGAGGGCATGGTCAGCACTTTTGATGAGTGCCTGTGACAGGTCCGACAGCTTGTATTAACCCCTTAAGCAAAGCTGCAGGGATATTGGGGAGCAGAGGGATGAAGATTTCACTGAACAGTGCACAAGGAACACTTCTGATTCAATGTAAGCATTTACTACAAATTTACTAAACTTAAACTATAACCTGAACATAATGAGATCCATTTCAGACAACAGACCCCATGGAACCTTAAAAGCAAACTCCAGGCAAAACATTTTTGTAAGTTCTACACAGAGGAGTAAGACTAAGACCTTCTGGCCGGCTTTAAATGCTGCCTGTGTTCTCTCTTCTAGTTCTGTCTGACATCTGTATCAGCATTTGATAGAGATTCTAAAATGTTTAATCTGGACTTTACAAGTTTTTTTTTCCATTTGATATTTAGCTGTACTATTTTACTGTTATATGTTTTGTGCCTTAGTTGCACATGTACCTCCCTGATTTGCCTTGAAAAGTAATACTCACCTACATTTAAAAAAAAATATATTGAAATATGACATTTTATGGAGAAACCAAAATCCTGGCATCACTTGAGATTTCAAAGCAATGAGTATAGAGATGTCAGTTGACAGACTGCCCTCCGGATGCGTATCTTCTTCAGTGACTCATTCTAGCTTAGTCTTCTCCCATACTCTATACAAGCTGTCAAGAATTAGTAACTAGAAAATAAATGAACATCTTCAATGAATACAAGCTGAATTTTTTATGTAAAAAAAAACAAAAAACCCCTGCTGAGTCTGCAGGCATGGGTTAACAGCATTCCATGGTCATTTCTCAAGTGGGAGGAGGAGGGAGAGGGGAGAGTTTGAGTCATACTGGCAGTGTTCTTAAAGTCTTACAAGGGGAACCCACAACACAGAGCCAAGAAACAAAGCCAGTGACACATCTGACAAGAGCTGAACTTTAGGATGCTGCTTTTTCCTCTGCTGGGGGCTCTGGCCCTCTCTGTTTATGGAAAATCCCTAATGGACCCCAGTACTGAAGAGGAGGCCATGGTAAGTCTAGCTGCTTCTTACCAAATGATCTTATATGATGGAAAGCAGAAATTGTAGAAAACGGCAGGAATGTGAGTAGGACATCTGTATATATGATTAATATTTAATAGTCAACAGTCTCTATAAAGGTAGCCCAGATTGAAGAAAATCACGCATACAGTGCTGCTGGGTCTGCTTTTCTTTTCTTGTTTATATATTTTATTTCTGCAGATGTATCTGCTGGATCTCATTTGCTGTGATGTAATGGACAAAATAATTAGAACAGAAACTTTAGAACAACAAATTCCATTGAATAATTCTGAGAAGACTAAAGTATATGTCAACCCAAAATGTAATTTTTCTAATTGATCACTGTATACAGTTGTCTTAAAGTGTTACTAAACCCAGGACCCTGCATTCACTATATCTGGCCTCCCACAGTACACAGAACATGGAATTGTAAATATTTTAGTAAATATAAACTGCTAAATACTTTTCTCATCAGTAGTTAGAGCAGTCTTGGGACTTCTATCAGTATTCATCAGAGCACTGGTTAAAGCTTGTAGGAGGTGTTTTTATTCTCCACTGATTGTCCTGTGAGGCTGCATAACCCCTGACCCTCTATCTGGACAGCGCTGATTGGCCCTGTGCTGATCACATGCACCCTCCAAAGAAAAAAAAAAAATCTCAAGCAATACATACCAAACTAACCCTGTGCAGCTTTGCCCCCAAGGCTCTGTTCTAGCAGCAGATGGATTGGGGACAGTAGAAGAAGGGGAGGATCAGAAAAGGCAGGATCAAACATCCTTTTTAAGCAGAGGATTAACCCCTTAGGTTCCACAGTGAATATAACAAGCATGCTTTACTGCATATACAGACTGATTTTACTGTTGTGGGTTTAGTAACACTTTAAGCAATTTTTGTTTTAATGTGTTGTAAAGTTTCTGATCTGGAGACCCTGGCAGTAGATGCAATTCCAGTTGCAGACTGACAGTGCTAAGTTACTGCCTTAGAATTAGCAGCATTGTTGCCAGCCTCTGAATGAAATTCAGTTGACTGTTGGGCTGCCAAATGTGGTCTTCGGACAGGTAGCCCAACAGCCAAACAGTCAGCAGAAACCAGAAGTGCATTTACTGGCAGGTCTCCAGTAAGACACCGTGCAACAGATCCAGAAAAAAATATTTGCTAATAAAAACTGTATATGGTAAGATATGATGCCAAACCTGAAAAGTGATTTAGGATTTACATAAACTTTAATGCTTTACGGCTGCAATACATGGCTTGAATTTCAACTGATTTATAAGTCCTCATGCACACTGGACATTTTCACAGCTGCTGTTTTTGTCTTTTGGTGTTTTTTTCCTACAGTTAGTAAACCCCCCAGCATGTTATCCTATGTGTCCATGCACACAGACTGTAATCAACATTTTTTGGCAGGGATGTTTTTTGGCTGGAAAGAAAACCTAGGACTAGTGGGTTTCTCAAGGAGTTTTTTAGCTGTACAAATGCAGCAAAACACGGTAAATTACGGTAAACCGCTTCAAACCAGCGGTTTTGGACTTTTTTTGACCCCAAAAAATAATTTTTTGTTGGTAAAAAAAAAAAATGCTAAAAAACTCCGCTAAACGCTAATGCAAAAAAAAAAAAGAGCTGAAAAACGCACGTTTTTAACATGACTTTACACAGCTAACCAGCGTTATCAAAACATCCAGTGTGCATGAGGACTTAGGGTTGCCACCTCATCCCTTTAACACATATTAATTACACAGGTTCTGGTGATAATTTTTTGGAGATAAGGTACTAAGTGAGTTTAATTACCATCTTAATCAGCCACAGAAACTGTGTCATTAATATGTGTTCGGTTTTAAAGGGATGAGGTAGCAACCCTATGATTTATGCTGAAATTCAAGCCGTGGGCGTCCCTGTCAGCTCCACAAAAGTCAATTGAACAAATTACTTTTTTAAATGAGCCAGGTATAAAATTGTCAGCTGAATAGTCCCTGCATCAAATCAGATGCAGGCACTGTTCAGGTATTCTGACAACTGCTATAGCTGGCTGTCAATATACAAAAGCTGGCAGACAGGGCCAGATTTAGACATTGAAGGGCCCAGGGCACTTTAGGTTCAGGAGGCCCCTTATACACAGAGATGGTTCAATGACTATCACACATTTTTAAAAAGCATGACACAACAGAATTCTCAGGTCACACATGCACAAACACACGCAGTCATAGCATTCTATGCGTGGTTTGCTTGAACCACCAAAATTAATTTTTAAAAACAATACAATATACCAGTACAGAGTAAAAACTTTTTCAGATGATGTCCAACAAAATAGTACTTCTGAAGATACATATGATAAAATACAGTTTATATATATATATATTATATATATATATATATATATATATATATATATACAGTCAGGTCCATAAATATTGGGACATGGACACAATTCTAACATTTTTGGCTCTATACACCACCACAATGGATTTGAAATGAAACAAACAAGATGAGCTTTAACTGCAGACTGTCAGCTTTAATTTGAGGGTATTTACATCCAAATCAGGTGAACAGTGTAGGAATTACAACAGTTTGCATATTTGCTTCCCACTTGTTAAGGGACCAAAAGTAATGGGACAGAATAATAATCATAAATCAAACTTTCACTTTTAATACTTGGTTGCAAATCCTTTGCAGTCAATTACAGCCTGAAGTCTGGAACGCATAGACATCACCAGACGCTGGGTTTCATCCCTGGTGATGCTCTGCCAGGCCTCTACTGCAACTGTCTTCAGTTCCTGCTTGTTCTTGGGGCATTTTCCCTTCAGTTTTGTCTTCAGCAAGTGAAATGCATGCTCAATCGGATTCAGGTCAGGTGATTGACTTGGTCATTGCATAACATTCCACTTCTTTCCCTTAAAAAACTCTTTGGTTGCTTTTGCAGTATGCTTTGGGTCATTGTCCATCTGCACTGTGAAGCGGCGTCCAATGAGTTCTGAAGCATTTGGCTGATATGAGCAGATAATATTGCCTGAAACACTTCAGAATTCATCCTGCGGCTTTTGTCAGCAGTCACATCATCAATAAATACAAGAGGCTTGGCTCTGAGGAAGAGGTTGTGTCCTCGAAACGCGTTAGCCAGTTGGTCATCCAGGGTTCCATCGTATGGACTCAGATGTTGTTTGGATCATACATCTTGTTCAGTTTGACATGCCTGTGTTATTATGTCCATTGTGAGTATGATACCTATTTTTGTTTCTTTAATAAATTATTTTAAACGATAATGCACTAGGTCGGTGCGCCCTTTTCTGTTTCTCCATTTGTATCCAGTGTATTCGGACCACCCCGGTCTGTTGATGGCAGCAAGCAGTGCATATTCCAGAAAATTCCAGATCATTCCTATTGGGTCTACTGAGTCCTTTCCTAGCGCAGGAGTAAAGTGTTTGTTGTGTTGGACTTGTCAAAGACTGTCTCCTGTCTTTTTTCACACTACACTTTTTTGTGAATGGGTACTGGTACCATGGATCCATGGTTGTGGGGAAGAGACCCTTGTCCCTATCAACAGCACCCCCCCATGTTGAGGGCATGTGGCCTGGTATGGTTCAGGGGGGGTCGTCACCCCCCCCCCTTTACTGACCTGCAGGGCTGCATTCTCGGATAAGGGTCTGGTAAGGATTTTGGGGGGAACCCCCACACCAATTTTTTTTTTTTTTTTTTTTAATTTTGGGTTGGGGCTTCTCCTCAAAATCCATACCAGACCCGAAGGTTTTGGTATGGATGGAGGGGGGACCCCACGCCGTTTTTTTATTATTTTTTAATTGCTGGCAATTCTTTCTTTTACATTCAATTGTCAGTGGGGAACCCCGCTGACAGCTGAAACATTAATGCTTTTCACTACTAAAATACTGCATGACTTGATAAAATAACTCATGCGGTATTTCAGTAGCCTTTTTTAGTGGATTGAAATGGGGTTTTTTAAAAATGCTATGTGGTATGCAGTAAGATATGGCTTATTGAACTGTGCCCTGGATATGGACCAGCCACATCTAATGTAAATAAACAAGTTTAAATGAGTTTACAAGCATTTACATGCGTTTTCAAGCGTTTGCATTTGAAACGCCAGTAAACTCTACTCGTGAACGCGATTTTTGTGCTTTCAAGAAAATGCCTTAAACTCAACTGCCTGTAAACGACTATGTGTGCATGGACACATAGGAAAACATAAAGGAGAGTTCAGGGGCTGCTGAAAAAAATGCTCAACTACTCCTAAACGTCGGTTTAGCAGCTGCAGTGTACATGAGCCCTTAGAGGAGAAGAAACAGCAGCACACAGTGAAAGGCAGGCTGTCCTGCGGGGAGGGTGGTGTCAGGACAAGTCTAATCATTGGAGAAGAGCAGGCTGAGTTCCCAGAACTGACCACGGTGTGTTATCATACCTAGTGTGGTCAGTTTATAATAGGAAAGCAGTGGGCTGGCAGGAACACCAGAGAAGAAATACAAAGAGAACAGGATGCTTTTTCCTACAAGCACATGGTACAGCAGGCACATATCGGGTGTACATATTTTTTAAACACATTTTAAAGTATCAGAAAGAGAATTCAGACAAAATACTATACATTAGTTTACACAGATATGTATTGTGCTTTAAAGCAACATAAATAGCAGTGGGACGATCAGAGGAGAACCCAACCCCCCACCCCAAATGTTGTCATCATGGGACTAGCCCAGCAATGGGCAAACTACGGCCCGCGGGCCGTATACGGCCCGGCGGACCTTTTAATCCGGGCCCCCGGAGCGTGATACTGTCAGGATGGCTGACAGGATGTGTGTAGGTGGGGCAGCATGACGAACGTGAGGGGAGCTAGGCTCCTCTCACAGTCCGCCCTGAAGACCGGAATGGCGCGGGAACACGGCGAGAGGAACGTGCGGAGCAAAGGTAAGTAAATTGACACAGGGGGGACTTGGGGACTTAGTATGGGGGATGAATTAATATGGGGAATTAATTACTATAGGGGGGAT